ATAAGTTTAAAATTATAATAAAATAATATATAACTATATATTACTTTCAGTTTACTGTAACTATATATGCTATATAATATTGCATACAGTTATACATATATTTATACATGTGTTTCTTTTCTCGGGGACAGTTAGGTTGTTTCCCATTGCAATTGTTTGATGCTTCAGTGACCAGCCTCGAAGATGACTCCTCTGGCACATGTACAGTTCTCCCAAGGCAGGTATGGAAAGACCACTGGGTCCTAAGATTTAAATTTTCAATAGGTACCATAAACTTGCCTTACATAGAGGCTGTAATAATTGATAATCCCATTTGCATTATTAATGTATCTGTTTCCTACAACTTTATCAACATTTGTTTATGGGGAAACATTGCCAATCTGATAAATGAAAAGTGGTGGCTTAATTTTCTTTGGCATTTCCCTGCTTGCTAGGGAGGCTATTTTAATTTATTTCTTCATCCTTTCTTGCATTTAAATTTTTTCTTCAGGGGACATGCACCCCTTTCAAAATGAGAGAAGAATTTTCTTTTTTCTCCTCTTGTCACTGTTAAGAGCATACGGATGAGGATTATTTGTTTTGGTTGTACCATTTTAGGTTAAATGCTTATTTCTGAACTTACCAGGGTAAGGTGCTACAGCCTCACTGCCAAGAGATGCATGGCTTCCCCTGATTGGCAGGGGAGCGTAGTGCTCATTGTGTGATGACTCTTTTTAGTTCTAATGTTTTTGACTTTACAAGATACGGAGACTCTATTTGTTTATTCAGAGGTTTTTTGATTGAAAAGAACAGACACCTACTTAACCTAGATCAAATATTAAGTGGGATTTACTTGGGCAAGGGAAATCAGGGGTATCTCCCAGAATGCAAGGCATAAAATAGAGCTGGGCTGGGATAAGAGCTGGAATGCTGACAGAACAAAGGCCTCTCTCTCTTTTGCCCTCTCTTCCTCTCTCCTTTTCTGCTTTACGTCTCTCCTTTTCTTTACTTTTTTCTTTGGTACCAGGGATCGAACATCTCTCCTTTTGTCTTTTCCTCCTGGTCAACATGTTCTGCTCAAAAAAAAAAAATTTTTTTTTTTAAGAACTGGGAATTGAACCCAGTGCCTTGAACATGCTAGGCAAGCACTTTACCACTGAGCTATATCCCCAGCCCTGCTCATATATCTTATGTGGCTTAGGATGACCATTTAATTTGGATTTAATATTTTTTTCTTTAAGTACTCACTATTTATTTCCTATGGCCTCTGGATATTCTAGTTCAGTTTTTGAAAAGATAATCCTATGATTGTTTCTAATTAGCCAAACATTGGCTGATTTGGGATCCAATCAACTTGTTCATCTGAGGTGAAGGACAGTGATCAGCTGTTGCTTCCACAGTCAGTGGGTTGGCAGCACCTCCAGAAACCCCTATGCCTACTATAAAGTTGTGGTTATCCTAAATTACAGGAGTTATGTTATATTATAATGTATGTTAACATACGAATAACATGGGTTTCCCCCAAAAATGTTCCCTTTTCTGTCTCCTTTGACCTCAAAACCCAAATTCTGGAGAGCTAAGTGTTTTTGCAGTGCTAGTGATCAAACCCAGGGGCTCAGGAGCTCTCCCACTGAGTTGTACTCACAACCTTAAAGCAAATTTTATGTACAAAAACATTCTATAAGTACTGTGTGTAAATTATCTTAAAGAATGGCTGAATAAAGTATGTCCATTCCAGGTATACTGTGTATCATTAAAGTGATAACTCTTAAAAATTTAAATTAAGGATCAGCTGTAATCCCAGCACTGATATGCTGGGAGCAAATAATCACAAGTTGGAGCCTAGCCTAGGCATTTTAGCAAATTAGCAAAATCCTGTTTCAAAGTAAAACATAAAAAGGTCTGGGGGTATAGCTCAGTGTGAAGGCCCTGGGTTTAATCCTGAGTGACACACACACACACACAACCACACACCACACACACACAGAAATGCACATTATAAAGCATAATAATAGGAAGTGAAAAAAGACTTATTTTTGTATATATGGGATAATTACAGCTCTGTAAATAAAAAAGTCAAAATTATATATAGAAAACATATGCATATGATGTGGCAGTTTGACCATGGATATTTCTTTCTCTCTAATTTTCTATATATATATTTTAAAAATATTTTTATTGGAACATTTTAGATGTATAATACAGTTACATTCATCATTGGGATCTTGTAATTTTTTTTTTTTTTTTGGTCTTTTGAGACAGGGTCTCACTATGTAGTGAGACTGACCTGGAACTCACTGTGTAGCCCAGGCTGGTCTCGAACTCACAGTGATCCTCCTGCCTCAGCCTCCCGAGTGCTGGGATTATAGGCGTGTGCCACCATGCCTGGCCTTGGGATTTTGTAACTTCACATGACTTGGTTCTTATTTTTTCCCCATTCCCCTGCCCTCCCTTCACCTGCTCCATCCTTTCCTATTTACAGAGACTTTGTTTCCATTTTTTGCCTTTTCTCTTTCCTTTTTACCTTACCCCTACCACTCCCATTTGCCCAATACCTTTAGACCTTTTCTTCCTATTACTTTTCTATATTTTTAAATGTAATAAACACACTTTGTTTTTGTAAAGGAAAAAATCCTAGTGAAAAAATTTTAAATGAAAATAGTTTGGGTCTTAGTGAACCGTGGGCTATGTGACTGATGGCTCTTCTTACTAATGTCCTAAAACTATCTCCACGAGACTTTGAGTTCTAGGAGAACAGGGAACAGACTTTATTTCACTACAGTATTACAGCGAGGCCCAGTGCCTGAGTGCCTTAGACACTAAGTAAATATTTGCTGAATGAATAATGTACGAATCCTTAAGCTGGATATGATTGAGAGGAGAGACAAGGTTCATGGCCACTATGCTATGGTCTCTTAACTAGCAATTCAGGTGGACGGGCCTCTCAGTGTTTCCAGTCTAATAGTGAGGAGACCTCTTTGGCTCAGTCCCTGCACTTACCACTTTGCTGACATCCATAGAGTTGGGTACCTCGGGCTGGGGAACTCAATCTTTCATCCATGCCTGAGATATGCAGCATAAAGACTTCTTGTTTTTTTACTATAAAAAGTTTATTCCTTGTCTTGGAGTGGTGCATTAGATTGGGATTTTACTAAAACCAAAGCTTTCTATTCTTAGAAACAGGAAGGCTCCAGACTCTTCATGGCAGGAGGATGTGTGTGTGTGTGTGTGTGTGTATGTGCATGTGTGCACACACATGGGTGTGCATAAGCCCCTGGGAGTAAAATCTTGAAATAAATAACTGTTGAGAATGAGCATATAACATCTACTGAAGCCTATCTGTGCTGCGTTCTCTTTGGACCACTGAATTCCTCCAAGCCTCCACATTCTAGATGTCATCTCTTTCCTCCTCTGTGTAATTCTGCCCTATTGGTGGTTGCCCTCACCCAGTTGGCACATTATATCCTGTACAGTTCCTGTGTCCCTCTGGCTCCAGTACCACCTGCTTTTCATTGAGAGCTGCCATGCTGCTTTTCACCCTTTTCCCCGAGAACCCTCTGCTACAGAAAGTAACATTTGTCCATTATGTGATGGAGATTTGTCTTTTCCCTAAGAGTGCTAGGCCCACCATGAGAGAACTTTAGAAGGCCTATTGCTCTCCCACCAGTGGAGAGCATTTCTTGGCCCTACTAATTAGTCGACTATGGAATTTATGATCAAGAATATTGTATATTATTATTTATAACTTTTGTACAACATAACTTCCCCTGGTCCTTTATATCACCAAAATGTATATGCAAATATGCTATCCTGTCCATAAAGGTTGTTAAAACATTTACTAGCACAACACTGGGCTGGAGAAAGCTGGGGAAGACAGCATGGCCTTGATGATGTCTTTATGGATTCTTGGCCACAAGAAACATGAGACCTCCAGCGCCCAATAGAAGAAAGATGCAGACTTTCTTCTAGGTTCTTGAATTTCTGTAGTCTCCTCCTCTCATTCTCATCTGGTTCACAGTGTCGCCCACTGCCTGCCCCATGGCCTTCTGGCTGCTGAGTCTCTTGGAAAGGCTACCCGGCAGTGCATTCCCTGGACCAGGGCTACAGCTTTGTAATATACCCAAGTCTCTGGCTTGTCTACAAGAAAGGATTGGACAGTTTATCCTCCTTAAATGTTTAACTTCTTTGTATGTAATACTGTGATTAGTAATGGCTTATATATTATGTTTTTATTATTAATAGAAGTAGATTTTAAGGCCAGGGATTTAGCTCAGTGGTGGTTCCACTGCTTGCTTCACAAGCTGAAGGACCTGAGTTTCATCCCTAGTACCAAAAAAAAAAAAAAAAAAAGGTAGATTTTAAGCAGTTACTCTGGTCTAGGTGCTCTGCTGGGAACTTCACATATATTATCTTGGATGCTTAGTGCTACCTGAGTTTATTTCACAGATGAAGAAATTAAAACTCACAGAAGCTAAGTAGCTTAGAGTCACATGACCAGCTAAGGTAGAGCCTAGATTTGAACCCAAGATCTGTGTGACTTCAAAGACAATTATATAAAACTGTTGTGTATTGTGTGTGGACTCTAGTTTTGCCTAAGACATAAAAGAAAAGTTAATTAGCTAACATTTTTTGTAGAGCATTACAATCTAACAAAATTATTTTCATATTAATATCTTTGCCAAGAGAGAAGGCAAATTAGGCTGTTTGAACATGTCTTAGACAGGTCATTAAAATTTTGAACTACATTTTGTGAAAGTCACTTTTTTGGACAGCTGTTTGACAAAACAAAGACAATTTCATCTGACTGAGGGTAAAGATCAGTTGTAGAGAGGGTAGCATGCACAAGGCGCTGGATTCAATTCCCAGCACCAAGAAAAGAAAAAGACAATTTCACTGATCTTTCCTACGAGCCAGATTCTCAGAAGCAAGCTAACAGTGATGGGGACTGATAGCTTTGGAGTATCTCTCTGAATTTCCCTATCTCAGTTCTGCCCAGCACTGAACTTCATCAGAGTACACCTGGGGAAATAATGCTAATATTCTATAATTTGGCTAAGTTACTTTGCATTCAACTTTGCGTATGTGTCTTTGGGTATTGTGAGACCAGGATTAGATAATAAGGATGATTAAATTTTTAATCTACCATTCAAAAATATGTAGGGAAATGTCAGGGGGTAGAGATAATGGAAAGCTGTTTTGTTCTACTGAAACTTTCCTTTCCTGTATTCATTTTTCC